AGGATCAACAACAATAGGATCAACAATAGGATCAACAACAAAGCAACAACAACAGGATCAACAACAATAGGATCAACAACAAGGCAACAACAGGATCAACAACAATAGGATCAACAACAATAGGATCAACAACAGGATCAACAACAATAGGATCAACAACAGGATCAACAACAATAGGATCAACAACAAGGCAACAACAGCAATAGGATCAACAACAAAGCAACAACAACAATCAACTTACTTTTCTGAGGTTTTCCCCTATGATTTCCAGGGTAAGCTTACTAAGAAGAAAAACAAATGAAAACTAAGCCCTAATATTATTTTATAAACAAAATATAAATGATATAATCATCGATTTCAATGCTTAATGAGGTGTTTGCTCAAAGACCTATTTATAACTCTCTGTGCGGGTGCTTATTACTTCCCATAGCAACCTACACAGCAATCAAAGATATCCTTGATTTCAATGCATCATTCAGTGAAACATTTTTAGCTAGTGACAGACTATGTTTAAAAGATTAGGAACTTGTAGATAAATTGAATCACCGTAAAAAGCTTTGTGAAACTGACGTTTCGGATGTTAGTCCTTTGTTAGAGTAAGTGACTTACTTTGACTTACTCCAACAAAGGACTAACGTCCGAAACGTCAGTTTCACAAAGCTTTTTACGGTGATCCAATTTATCTACAAGTCCCTACTGTTTTATTCAGAAACACCGGCGCAGTTCATGCTATTTCTACTAGTTATCGCCACTATGTTTAAAAGGATCAGTAAGTAATGCTGTCTTCATGGGTGTGGGGTGGTATGCGACGGCAGGCAACCATCACCACCTGCCACCCTACGACGCAAATTACATCATCATCTCCATTCATGGGAGTAAAATCCTAGGATTATCAAGGAATGTACGGCGTTGCACAAACCATGCATACAAACAACATGCATAATCTGGTCATCATCATCATTTCCTGGTGTTTAAAAATTGTAAACAAAAAAAATACTCACAATCCAGCCCGTTTTACTGACACCTCCACTAGGGAGTCACTGAAGCACCTTCCTTCAGCATCCTGGCACAAAATCGAAGACAGACTTAGCATCAATATAAACTATTACAATAATTACATATATTGGGGCTAAAAAGCACTGCTGTTAAGACTAATAGGGTAGCTCATTATTATATAACATTATTTATAAATTTAAAGTTATAACTTACGACATGCTGCATAGTAGCCTCATAGAGAGAAATCAAAACCTTGTGGACCAACATAGGGACATCAGGGATCTTATTCTCATCACCTAACAGAATTGACACACAAAACTTATGTTGGTATTCTGTAATTATCCATCCTAGACATACCTTCACAATGTTGTACCACTGTTTTACTGTTGTACCAATGCTTCCCTGTAGTGCAGTGTGGTGCAGTGTAGTGTGGTGTGGTGTAGTGTGGTGTGGTGTAGTGTGGCGTGGCATGGCGTGGTGTAACAACAGTGGTAAGGCAGTGTACTACATACACAACATTTAGAAAACAAATACTAGAATCGTATCTGATGAGCTTCAGAAATCCTACTTGATTTGTTATCATAACTTACCTACTAACTCTGCTTTCTTTCTTAACAGTGCTCTAAGTAGACTAAGAGCATCCTGAAGAAAACCAAGAAAATGTACTAATAAGAAAATAAATTGCCAAAGGAAAGAGACAAAGAATTCTTTAAATATTTTTGAGCAAAGAAAAGGCCAATCATGGTTGATTGAATTTCTCACTAAAGCCCTTTCAATACACTTTGCAAACACACTGGTCAAGATGACCGGCCAACTTAGTTTTWGGTTGGCCATACCTCATTTGTGGTTGAACACTAAGGATCAAAATGACTAGTAAAACAAATATTGACTGGACAAGTTATAGTCCTGGAAGGGCATTGTCAGATGACCGATCAATATTTTTATCAATGTGATAAATGACAACAAAGATATTCATCCAAATTAAAGTGCTTACCTTATAGACCTGTGAGTCAGGCTCATTGTATCTACAGGCATTATCAAACATCAGATGGAAGTCAGCCATAAAGTCATCTAATGTCTGATACTGATCTGCATTTAACTTGGATTGGATCTTGGCCATGTCTATTGGCTTCTTGATTAGGGTATAGTAGTCTGGATATTCCTAGCAATGAAAAATATAAATTTATCAATACCAAGATTTCTATATGTACAAAGTTATTCAAAACATCAAACAACAAATAATATTGATACCATGAAACAACCTCTGCAATGATAAAAGTTGGGGTGTGGCAATTCACAGATTGATTTAGGAAATAGGTATTGTCAAGGCCATAACCAGGGGTAACGGAACTATGTCTAAACAAACAGCAATCTTGAGAAGTGGTATAACATATAACATTCCAAAGAATTGCAGACCCCCCCCCCCCAAAAAAAAACCCATAACCAATGTACCACCCAATGCAACCCCCCCTCCTCCTTGGATAAATCCAGGAATCCATAAGTCCAGGAATTGACTGTGGTCAAGTCATTTAAGTCCTGGAGAGAAAGGGTGTAAAAACCCATATTACATAAATCCTACATAATGTAGAAGTTATATCTAGAAGAAAAGTACTTACAACTCTTGAAGGCAGCTTTTGGAAGATGAGACATAACTGTCGACCACTCATATCCTAACATTGGAAACAATACAACTAAGTACAATAATATTTTCCAGTTTTCAATCAGACAATCTAATCCTTTTTCAAATAATAATAATAATAATAATAATAATAACTTTCAGTCATAGACTGGTTTACAAAGTGCCTTCCTAAAGATATAAAATACAAAAAAAAAAAAATTTATCCACTGCTATTTTCGTAAACATGTGAACTTGGTAGGTGAAAGCTGAATTCTGAAATTTGGTTTTTTGCTTCCGCCAATCAAAACTAATCAGACAGTACCTTTCATATTTTTGACTGACGGCAGTGAAAAAACAAATTCYAACTATAGGGTTTGCAATTTTTACAAAAATAGCAGTAAAGCTACATTGATAGATTTCCTTACTGTACAGTCTTTGACAGCGACCATGAGCTCTTTGCACAGCTCCTTTAGTTCATTTGTTGCAGACGGCACTTGGTAATACTTTCTTGCAGCTCCTGGCGAGGTCCTATATAGAACAATAAAAGTTTTATACCAGAACTAAAAACAACAGCTGGTCAAAAGACAATGTACAGCCAAAAATTGGTACTTGTCTGGTTATAGTAGGGGGACAGTAATGATAATAATAATAATAATAATGGTTTAATCAATAAAATCCACGAGGTGGCTCTTCACCTATTGATAAACTATTTAATATACAATAACACACACACGAGATAAACTTRCAATAATAAACTATGAAACTATAAAATAGACAAATTTTAGACAAAGATAAGAAATAAGATTGAAAATTATTGGAAATTTCTTATTGATTAATTCTAAAGCAATGCTATAATTATATATGAAAGAAAAGGATAAAATTGCAGATATTTGGGGTACATTCCACCACCCCCAAGCAACCGCCTCAGGCCGAGACAGTAATGATAAAAGGGTAAATTTTACACCGTGAAAAGATGAAAAAACAGCTCACACTAGTTTTTAGCAAGTTATCTCTTCTAAAGTAGGGGGAGCGTATTTTATACTTCAACTATGAAATGATTTTATTAAATGAGAATATATATATACTATATATTTGTATAAAAGAATTTAATTATTATGATTTTTATCCTGGTAGGTATCTTCACTTTTCTGCCCCTCTAGCCTTGACCCATTATCATTATCACTAATTAACCATATTTTGTCAGATGTAAAATATAGTTGAGGGATGGTAAAGCAGGAAATTAAAACTAAACTTACGAAATTCTGCCAGATTTTGTTGGGGTTGACACTTTGCCTCCAGCCGGAGAATGAGAAGATGTTATTGGTTCTGGAGCCACTGAACAGAAAATTGAAAAAAAGTATTGGGATAAGGAGCTTTATCATGACAAAAATACACATGTTGAGGATTAAGAATAATTTTCGGTGGTATTAATATGAGATGAAGTTATCCTACGTGATATAGCAAGAGTAAGGGAACTCTGGAAAAAGAAATCAAAGTCTGTGATGGTGTTTTTTCTCTGAGTTTCCTTAATCTTGCTATGACAAGCAGGATACTTTCATTTTACAATAATATACAAGTTTTAACACGTAAAGGATCAGTGATTAATGCTGTCTTCATGGGTGTGGGGTGGTACGCGATAGCAGGCAACCATCACCACCTGCCATCCTACGACGCAAATTACATCATCATCTCCATCAAGTGAAGAAATAGATATAGTACTTAACACACTCACCAGGATGTATTGGTCCTAGAGCTTTTCTTTTCTTTTTCAGTACTTTCTCTAACACACAGGCGTCCTGTAAAACAACAAGAGGCATTGTAAACGTAAAAATTAAAGTTAAACACAATATAAGAGGGTAATGGATTAACGATGTATTAAACTCTACTAGTAGATTATCAAAGTTTGCATGTCTACGATTCCTGGATCTTGCACATTTAGTCAAACTGGGGATCTTTACTTTTTTCTTAATATTTTGACACTCCTTGCCAACACATGTCCTGTGAGCTTTGGGATTCATTGAAAATTGGGGTACTATTTATTTTTGCTTGTGTTAGAATATAAATACAGGATTTGCGTTGACAATTCCTAAAGGGCTCAATGTACAAAATAATCTTCATAAAATAGCTGAGTTTTAACACACTCTCTTATTGGTCTAAATGCCATTTTAAATGAGAGTATGTACAACGGAAAACTGTTTTATTTTTCTTATTGGGGTGGGNAGGGGGGAGGGGGAGGGGGAATGGTATGACTATGGTGAAAGTGGTGGTTATTAAACTCCCAACTCGAAAGCTCATATTACTCTTTTTTTCTTTTTACTCAAACTGTTATTAAGTATCTATGTAATTAGGTCTATTTTCTTCGTATTTAAGAATTTTTATAACTCACTGAAAATAAAACAACTGAATTCTATTATATTATTAAAAAACCTCATATTAATTTCATTGGCATTTGCAAAATGATCATCAGAGGTGTCTGAATGCTAACATACCTGATATACTTGGGAGTCTTCTTCGTTGTAGTACCTGGCATTATCAAACATTACTTCAAAGTCAAGTAACAATTCTTCTTCTGATGAATACTAGAAGTTAAAAAATAACACAAACATCAAAATTGTGGAGCATTGTTCTAGAGTGACCACAGTAAATCTGTGAAACACTAATTACTAAATAGTACAAAATAGTGCTAGTTACACAATAGATAATGGAATTTGCATGAAATTGTGCTATTTAGTATTACTAAAGTTTCACGGATTTACTGTGGTCACTCTAACTTATCACAATGATATGACTTTTTTTGTCTGTGTGTCTAATCCTAAATTATAAGAGTAATAGCTACATGAAAATATTACAGTGKAGKCYRYAGGATTTTGAACTTTTTAAGGATRMAATCATTGATCACTAAGAAGAAAGGACAATCTTATCGCTAAAGTAGCATGAAAGAAAACATAGGTYGGATCAGTGAGTAATGCTGTCTTCATGGGTGTGGGGTGGTATGCGATGGCAGGCAACCATCACCACCTGCCAYCCTACGACGCAAATTACATCATCATTTCCTGGTCAGCTTATGTGAGTGAAAATTACCAACAGTAGAGCAACATTATGTGAGCAATTTATATTATCACAGTCACTATATTCACCTTATTATCCCTTATATTGACTTCTATTTGACTCAGGCACACAGGTTCGGATATGACTTTGTAGTAATCTGGATATTCCTGCAAACCAGATATCAGGGCACATAAATTTCATTTTTCATCTATRATAAACTGCAAGATGATAGAASGGSATCCCAAAAACATCTAGCGTTGTTCCAAAAAAATACATTTAATATGCTTCTCAAAAATTTTATTTTTCATCTATAATAAACTGCAAGACGATAAAGCAGGATTCCAAAAACATCTAGCATAGTTCCAAAAAAATACATTTAATATGCTTCTCCCATGAAAAACCATGGATAATGGCTATATTACATGTACTTACTCTCTTAAAAAACCTCTACTCTAGAACATGTTTATATCTTAGAGCCTTCTCACACATCTAATTGCCAAATGCACCCTACTCCACTCTACTCAGGAGCTGTGGATATTTACTAGAACTATGCAATAGATTCGGTCACATGCTAGAAGACAAATACTTACCTCAGATGAGGGCAAGTCCATAAAGATTGTAGAAAGGTACCGTCCACTTTCATCCTGTATGATGAATTAAACTTTGTTACATCGCATAAGAAATACCCACTCCAAACATTCAGAAAATATTAATTTGTTTAATTTAAAGGATTTTGTTGTTTTTCTTTGGCTTGCAATTAAAATGAATGTGGTGCCAGTGTACAGTAAATATTAATTATTAGTGGATCAGTAAGTAATGCTGTCTTCATGGGTGTGGGGTGGTATGCGACGGCAGGCAACCATCACCACCTGCCACCCTACGACGCAAATTACATCAT